CTTTCACAAAATTTTCAGAGGGCCTCTTCCAATAGTTGGAATCCAAAGCATGAGTGTTCATGTTTAACTGAATCTGAAACATATATTTCAACTCTAGCTAAAGATAAATAAGAACGTGTGGATTAAGTTATCTTTTATAATATGTGAGACGATATTTATTTTATTTATTGGTCTAACAATTTTTTTATCAATGACACCTAGACTGAAGCCATTACAATCGTGATGGAAGGCTATATTTTTTAGAAAAGGCTATAGAATGTAGAATATCTTGGGTAATAAGGTAGGAAGATAAAGCAAGTTTACTGATACTATGAATACATGTTATATGCTAAAATTTCAAAACCAAATATTTGCAATATAAGCAGATAATAATGTAATGTATTTGGGTTAGCGTTAGATGTTAGCATTATTCCTACATATATTTTAATGGGAGGTTATAAAATATTTTACAAGAATGGCTCATCTCTATTAACATGGTGCTTCAAAGAAACACTAACAAAAGGCTCTCTAAGTACAAAAGAACAATGTTAACTTATTCCCAATTCTCCAGAACATTTATTTAAGATGACTAAAGAAAAAAGATAGTTGGGAATAAAATTCATCTTCTTTAATTTCTTCTTGCTTAACTTAATGAATTCGGTTTTCCTTAATCTACATCGCCTCATCTAAAGTTAATTTTGGATGACCCTGATCCAAAATTAGTTTTAATTATTAAGGTAACAGGCCTCCTGCATGAAGTGGTGGGACTGAAATGAAAGTCTTTATGCCCAGCCATCCTGCTTTTCCTACAAAGCTTGTAGTTTCCCTCCAGAACATCTTCCTCCTTGGCTTACCAAGGAGGTTCTGACAGTAGAATTTCTTCCAATCTGAGAAAAATCTGTCAGTCTTCACTCACTTCTCCCCTAGCTCACCACCACGACTGACGGATATACACAATGGACACTGATATAAATAAGACAAGATACAGTCAGACATACACCTACAATTTCACATAAACAGAAATACTGACACAAAAAGAAAGTAGCTCTCAGTAACATAAAGAACTAGATACACAAGCCCTCAATCAGAGGCCCCAGTAACAAAACTGAAGTGCTTTCTCAATGGGTTGGGTCAATCCCCACGCTTTCTCCCTGGCCTGGAGAAGGGAGGGCCACTCTTTTCCCTTTCTGAACTCCCTTAAAATACTGAAGCATTTCTAATGCTCAGTTGTGTTTCAGACACAGTTACCTAACCCTTACCTATCTCAGGTTGAAGTGGGGTTCCTGTGTGTGTATGAGGGGTGGGCAAGAAATAAAGTTACACATCTTAAAGAAAATTCAGCCTAGTACAGGGTCTTCAGCATTCAAAGTTGTCACATGCTTTCTTAGTGCTCTGTGGCCCCTCTTGTAGCCTCCCTCTGCCCACCTCCCCCATCTTCTGGAAACCAGAAAGACTCCTAATTCTCTACAAAGGAGGGGGAATGGGTGACATGGCTGGAGTTGCCAGGAGCTCTGATTGATGATACACAGCTACTAGAATGTAATATTTTGTTTCTTTGGTTGGGGTTGATCCCATTCAAAGTTTACAGGTCTGGCTGGCTACAGGGACCCTGTCAGGCACTCCTGTCCCATCCTCTTGTCATCAAGAAGGCGTGTGGACATGTGTATGGGTGTTGTTGCACCAAGGAAAGAATTAAGTGTTGAAATAGAAGATCTGAGGAGTGGGTTGAGGCAGGAGCACCCAGTAAGGGCTGAGGTGAGTAAGGAGCCCGGGGGTGCTGAATCATGCAAGTCAAACTATCTAGGCTCCAAGTAAGCCGAGATAAGGAGTCCGTGTCTGTAAACCTAGTGGCATTTGTGGATGGCCTCCTCTTAATTTCTTATCAAGCTCTCTTTGAGGAACTCGCACTTGATCTGAACTTGCCCTGGGTGGACGCGGGAACCCGCGGGGCAGTGGCGGCACTCTAACGTCCCCTTCAAAACCCTCCGACCGCACCGACCCCAGCCGCCTCATCCCCGCCACTCACACCCGGACCACCATTTCCTACCTTCGCGTCTCGCAAACGACGCGTGCGTGGCAGCCCTCGCCGCTCGCCTCGTCCTTGTGGAACCTCACAAGCAGCGCTCCTGGGGGTGGGATTAGGGCGGGAACCGGGTCCAGACGTTCTGTCCCCGAAAGCGCACTCCCTTTCTCTCGGCGGAGCCCGCTTCCCACCCCACCCTTCTCCTAATGCACTGAAGGACCAGGCTTCGACCGGACAAACCGGGTCCCGGGGGCTTCCCCGCCCACCCCTGCAAGTCGCTCTCAACCTTCTCAGACCGCACCCGAGGCTCTGAGGCGCTGCCTCCGGTCCTCCGCCTGGGACAGAGGAAGGACGGCGCGCAAGAGCCGTCCCCTCCGCAGCCATCCCTCCGGCCCCTCTTCCTCCTGCCCCCTGCCCAGAACCCCGGGCGGCTCCGGCACAAACCTAGCGATGCAGTCCGGGGACGGGCGGGCCTCGAGCGGGCCTCGAGCGCGGGAGACCCCGAGACCTCACGAGGGACCCTGCGCGGGGAGGGGTGGTTGCCACAGACTCTTTAAGGGTCTTAGGACGAGGGCCTTGCTTGGACGCCTGGCCTGGTCTGCCGGCATTGATCTATCCTCTTGGTCTTGGAGCTCAGCTCCGAAGGTGTGGAGAGTTTGGCTGGGGGGCCTCCCCGGTCCCCCCGCACCCGCTCGGCCTCCCGCCCACACCCCAGCCCCGGCAGACTTGCCCTTTTCGCTGTCCAAGTGGCCGCACTAGCCGAACCCTCGCCAGGGACCGGACAGATCCCCGGCCTGAGCCCTGCGAGCCGGCGCCGTCTCACCTGGCGCGTCCCGGTCCCCTCGGAGCACCTCGGCGGGTCCCCAGCGCGCGGCTGGTATCCCGCTCCGCCCCGCCCCGCCCCGCCCCGCCTTAGAACCGGGCGGTGCGGACCCTTCTTCACCGCCAGCCCCGCCCGCCCCGCGCACAGCCGCGGAGGAAGCCGGCCGGGAGCGGGCGTCGCGGTTCCGCTGCGAGTCGGAAGGGAGCCAGTCCGCTCTCCGGGGTCGAGGGACGCCGCGGCCACAGGTCAGACCGAGAAAGGGCTTCTCCGGCCCGCGGACCTAGGCGCTCCGGGGGAGGGAGGGAGCTCCACTCGCGTGGCTTCGGTGGAGTGTGCCCCAGCTCGGCCACGCTTTCTGAGGGAAGGGGAATTCTAGCCCTGGCCCCCATGCGCCTCCGTTATTAGCCTGACGCTAAAATGGAGCCGGTTCAGGCCTATTCCTCCCCCGCCCCACCACCAAAAGTTTCAGGTTCTTGGAGAACTGGGAGTGTTGGGTGGCCTAGTTTGCTTGGGCCTAAAGGATCTCTCTGGAGTTCTTCCTGACACAAGCACATGACGCCAGGGAGGGAACTTTGGGCTTTTAGACTCCAGGCTGCCCCTCAACCTTCCCTTGGGACCAGGTTGGAATCCCTATGGCCTTGGCTTATATTTCCCCCACCCCAGGGTCATCACTGAAGGACTTCAGGCTGGAAAAGTAGCCATGTGGGACAAGAACAAGGTAGGCCTGTGTTCTCTCCCTGGTTCTGCCACTGCCTGGGGCTTCACTGCCCTGTCATAAGGTTATGCCTTCCACTCAAGGCTGTTAAATAGTTACTGAACCAATGTTGTATAAATCATTGTGGTTACCCACCCGAAAGGAGTGGTTATTAAGCATACCCACATTCCTCTTCAGGTTTATCTGCACAGCCTGGCCTGAAAGCTCACTACATTTTTTTGTGGGCTGAGTGGTCTCTGGGGCCCAGGATCCTGAAGACACAGTGGTAGGGGGGAAGGGGCAAGGCATCCTAGATCAGGGAAGGACCACTGTGGCCACTTAAGCGCATCCATCCTTATGGCTTCAACCATTCAGGACCCTGCTCTTCACACACTATCAAAGGTCACCATCTGGACAGTCTCTGGGATGGAGTGGGTAGAGTGGCGGAGCTTTTGAGTCATGACAGGGCCTAAGGTTTTTCACTTGTTTAATGGGAGATGGCAAGTTGGGATGAGATCTTCCTCTGGGGCTCCTCCTCTGGGACTAGACAACCTGTTCAGGAGTCCTGAGGGTTTGGTTTGAGATAAGGCTTTCTCTGAGTTCCCCGTTTCTTCCACTAGATAGTTCCCCACCCCCAGCCCCACCCCCCAGTTTCTATGCCGCCTTTAGAAAATCTTTACTGGCCTGAGGCACTCCCTGTGCCAGTCAGGAGTCCCAGCCTGAGTCCCCTGCTGCCTCTGTTTCCCTGTTGCCCCTGGGTGATCTGTTGGCCTGGGGAGAGAGAGCAGAAAGTTGGCACCAAGCCCAGGAGTGCCTGGCGCTGCATTCTTTGATTCCACTGAGAGGAGCCACGCTCCAGCCTCCAGCCACGCTCTCCCTACATCACATTTACATAACACCTGTGGCCTTTCTTGCTTTGAATTCAACCTCATTCTCGAGTTTGATGTTTGATTCCGACAACCATGCTAGGAGATAGACAGTTCAGGCATGTTTACTCCCATCACTGGAAGAGGTAACTAAGGTCCAGATCAGATAAGTGACCTGCCTAAGACCACACTCGTGGACTAGCAGCAGCTCAGTGTCCTGGCCCCCAAGCAAGGCTCTGTCCAAGGAACATACACTTTGGGAAGCTGGGCCAAAGCAAGGTTTTTCAGTTAATCTAAGAAGGTAAGTCCAGGAAGGCAGAGATTTCTGTCTGCTTTGTTCATCACTTAACCTCCAGTTCCTAGGTCAGTGCCTGATACATAGTGGGTGCTTGTCAAGTGTTTGTTGAATGAATGAAAGATTCTTGGGAGACAGTGTGTCTCCTGCTCTCTGCTCCTCACTGTGGTGTTGGCCCAGGCCACACCTAGATTCACAGGGGCCTGCAGAGGCCCTGGCCTGACTCTTCTGAATTGCTGGGACTCATTCTTCCTGTTCTCTTTTTCTAGGGTCTCCATTTTAGGGTGTTCTAATACCTAGGCCCTATTATCATATTCATCATGGGCTTCTGCTTGGCTCTGGCATGGACACTCCTGGTTGGGTCATGGACATCCATGGGTAAGTATAGATTGAAGAAGTATAACTAGGAACAGAGGAACCCTGCTGTGTCAGCATTTCCTCTTTCATTCCTTACTGTCTGGAGGCCCTTTCTCTCTCCCCTGTCTTCGCTCTTTCTTCATAATGTAAGGACCCCTGATCCCAAGTGGGAAAAGACTGATGAGGCATACAAGATAATAAAGGATCTTGTGGTCAGACTAGACCCAAAGCTGAAGGGAAGCCACCAGTGTTTTAAAACAATATGGAAAAAAAAGAACAACACAACCAACCACCACCACTAATATGGTCGGTCCATTCGATTTTGTCTTGTTTCTGTCAGCTTTGGACAGTCTCTTACTAGAATCTGAGGCCATTCTCTGAAGTCTGGGTCTCTGAGAAGGGAAGTAGGTTTAAGGTGCTACAAGTTAGGTTAAAAAGAGCCAGTTCCTGGGGCGCCTGGGTGGCTCAGTTGGTTAAGTGTCTACCTTTGGCTTGGGTCATGATCCCAGGGTCCTGGGATTGAGCCCAGCTGTTCAGCAGGGAGTCTGCTTCTCCCTCTCCCTCTGCTGCTCCCCCTGATCATGCTCTCTCTCTCAAATAAATAATTTTTTTTAAATAGCCAGTTCCTTATCATCAAGGGTGGGAGGATACAGGAAAAGGAAGCAGAGAAGACCTTTGGAATGATCTATTCTGACTGGGCAATAGACCCCTGCAGCTTCTCCCAGGACAGAGCTGTTCCCATTCCCATTCCTTCCAGCTCTCTCTTTGCCTTGACCTTGGATTTTCCTTTTCTAGTCAGCTCTTGCCACTTATTCCCAGAAGGCGTTCTCCCTTATGCTCCCTCCCAAAGGCCCTCCTCCCCCTTGTTCTGCCACTAGTTCATCTTATTTTAGAGATCACAGGTATATAGGTGTGCTAGTTCCTGCCCCAAGTCCTGGATCCTTAGTTGAGTTCTCTGCTCAAACACCAGGGCCTGAGTCATTTTCCTTCTCTGACCCACTGGTGAGCGAGTGTGCACACATGGGTGTGCACATGCACATGGGAGTGTGGGGCAGGAGGGGAGCTCTGAGATCTTGTTCTTGGTCTGAGTGGAAAGACAATCAGGAATGGGTCTCGCTGGCTGATGAGGGTCCTTTTCTTTGTTCTGTTCTATGAAGTGAGCAGAGAGGGAGCTTTAGCCCTATAACCTTCTAGTTTGGGGAAAGGAATCTAACTGGTCATCTGATCTACTGACCAGAAGGACCCCCATTCCACCTCTGATTCTGGACCCTTCCTCTGCCCTCACTGCCTGAGTTCTTCCCTCAACAACTGAGTGCTCCCTCCCAGATCCTAGTTTTTGGAAAGTATAATAGGGTCAGTAAGAGGAATTACACGAGGAACATGATGCCTCAAAAGAGGAGGCGGCAAGGTTATCCCATGACCAGGCAGTCCCTGATCTGATCCCCACCCCAGAAACTGGAAAAGAGACCAGAGTAGCAACAGGTCCCAGAGCCACAGCCCCAGGGCCCACACCCTTGCCCTGAGAGCTCTGCTCAGCAGGAGAGGGCCAAGCCCCTCTTCCACACTTCCCCTAGCCAGGGAGTGGTCACAGAATAACCTCTCCTTCCTTGGTTGGCGTTTGGGGTGCGGCTGGCTCTTACTCCCTGTGATATCTTAGGGCTGGGAATGGTTTCTGTCCTGCCTTGTCCCCCCAGGGAACTGAGGTGTGAGGGCAGTAGAAGGCTCCTACATGCCCTGCCACATCACCACTGTTCTCCAGCTTCATCTTGTTCTCTGAGGTTACTTGTCAGCATACACTGCCCCTGGCTACGCTGCTTCACTGCTCCCTGCCATGTTTCCCCCACTGAGCTTGAGTTTGGATACCACTTTGTCCTCGGTTCTCTCCCTCTGCTCCCTATCTTCCACACTGTGCTGGGTGTCCACCTTCTGCTGCTCCCCTTACCAGGCTCCCAAGAGCCATATCCTTCAGGCTTGCCTGTCCTTTCATGCCTGGACTCACCCAGCTGCCCCTTCCCTCTGTTCTCACACAGGAGCTCAGAACCCCATTTCCTGGGAGGTGCAGCGATTTGATGGGTGGTACAACAACCTCATGGAGCACAGATGGGGCAGCAAAGGTAGGTGAGGGCCAAATAGAGACAGCCCCAGGGGCAGGGGTGCCCGAAGGGGCAAGGCCTGGCAGGTACCAGCAAAGTCTCATCCATTCTTAAGGTTTTAGGATCTGTGGTTTGGAGGGAAGCCTGGGAGAGAGGAGGTAAGGGAGCCTCACTGGGGATTTATCTTTGTCCCTACCCCTCCTACCCCAGGCTCTCGGCTGCAGCGCCTGGTCCCAGCCAGCTACGCGGATGGTGTGTACCAGCCCTTGAGAGAACCCCACCTGCCCAACCCCAGAAACCTTAGCAACACTGCCATGAGGGGCCCTGCAGGGCAGGCCTCCCTGCGAAACCGAACAGTGCTGGGAGTCTTCTTTGGTGAGGTCCTCAACCTCTGGGGGAGGGAGGCCAGTAGGGTCAGCTGGACACCTCTGTGTCTGAGGGGGGAGTCAGGGAGTGAGGAAGAGAAGTGATGGAGGATCTTAGAGATGCGGGTGAGAGATGGAGGGGGAGGCAATGGGATGGGGTATTCTTACCCAAAACTGGATTTGCCTCTCGGTGGAAATTGAACCAAAAGACAAAACCAAGACAAGAATAGGAAGAGTTTTATTTAGAACAAGTAAAGGAAAACATGGAGAATATTTCCTAAAGCAGTGTCTTCCCAAATAATAAAACTGGGGAAGTTTTAAGGTAAGGGTACCTTACCTTAAGTGCATTCATGA